GTCGGCGGTCTGGTCCATGCNCGTCGCGCAGCGGAGCGCGTGGTTGTGGCGGCCGTCGACGGTGTCGACGAAGGACCCGCCCCGCATGGGCCGCTTCTCCGCGGTGCCGCCCGCGCACCACTCCCAGACGTTGCCGAGCGCGTTGTAGATGCCGAAGGCGTTGGGCGCGTAGGCGTCGACGGGCCCCGGGCCGACGAAGCCGTCGCGCGCCGAGTTCTCGTCGGGGAACTCGCCCTCCCACCTGAGCAGCAAAAGGGTGCGAAATTCCCAACTTCAAAGGCTCCTATCTCGGTCGTTTTCCGCTCGTTTCGGCTGATTTTTGGACGAGCGATCATCTCTCGGAGCGCTCTCGAAGCGTGGGTGCTGTTTCCGAAACGCGCGCGCGCGGAACCTCACGTTGAATCACCCTTTTGCTGCCCCGCCTCCCACGCGTTGAGCCGCGTCCACGGGTCGTGGTCCGCGTCGCCCCACGGGAAGGGCTCGTCCTCGAGGCCGCCGCGCGCGGCCATCTCCCACTCGACCTCCGTCGGCAGCCGCCGGCCCGCCCACTTGCAGTACGCGCTCGCGTCGTTCCAGGAGATGTGCGTCGCCGGGTGGTCGCCGCGGCCCCGGAGCGACGAGTCGGGCCCCTCGGGCTTGCGCCAGTACGCGCCGAAGACGCCCATCCACCAGGGCGACGCCTGGACGCGGCCCAGGCCGTTCTTCGCGTCCGACTGGTTAATCGTCGCGTTCGACCTGCGGCGCGGCGCGTTTTCGGCGCGAGCGAGAGAGAAAAGAAGCGCGCGCGAGGCGCGATCGGAGTCGCGCGCGACGCGAGGAGCGGCGCCGGCGCCGACGCCGTGAGCTCGAGGACGAAGGACCAGCGGAAGTTCTCCGCCTCCGTGAGGTACTGCGTGTCGCGCACGAAGCGCTTGAACTGGTCGTTGGAGACCGCCGTGGGGTCGATGCGGAACGCGGGCACGCGGCGGTGGCTCGCGGCCTTGGCGCCGTCGCGGCTCAGGGAGCTCGGCCGCTTGTCCATGCCCGTCGCGCCGGCGATGGCGCCGAAGACGTCGTCGCCGAGGCTCTCCTTGAGGCTCTCGAGCTGCTCGCCCTCCTTGTCCTCGGGAGCAAAGTCCTTGGGCACGTCGTCGTCGGCGAAGGACGTGCCGAAGGTGAGCCAGCCGGCCTTGACCAGCACCTGCTCCGTGAGGGCCTTGTCCACGGGCGCCTTCACGGCGAAGACCGCGGCGACGAGCGGCGCGACGCGCAACACGGAGCAGACCATCGTCTGCGATCGATTTGTGGAGAGCGGCACCATTCACCTCACGTATCGTATCTCCTCGAGATGGCTGCCCCGCCGTCGACCACGCATCATCATGGCCGACGACGCCGCGCCGCGGGCGACCTGGACTCGGCCCGTGCTGCGGCCCTGGCACTGGCTGCTCATCGCGTGCATCGACATCATCGGCCCCTTCAGCACGGACTCCTACATCCCGAACCTGCCGGAGATGGCCCGGGAGCTCGACGCGCCGACCTGGCTCGCGGGCCTGACGCTCCAGGCGAACTGGCTCGCCAAGGGTGTCGGCACGCTCGCCATCGGCCCCCTGTCGGACTCGCCGCGCGTCGGCCGGCGCGGCGCGCTCTTGGGCGCCTTCGTCTTCTACTGCGCGGGCACCGTCGGCTGCTCTTTGGTCGCGCGGAACCGCGGCGGCGCGTCCGCGCTCGTCGCGTTCTGTGTGCAAATCAAATCTTCAACTCGACTTCAATTGTGCTTCGAGAACTCGACGAGAGCAATCGATCCGTCCAAAAATCAGCCGAATCGACTTCGATTTGACCGAGCTAGAGAATTTCACAAGTTTGGTCGGGAGGTCCCGAACCAGCGGTTGATTTGCACACAGGTCGCGTTCCGCGTCGTCCAGGGCCTGGGCGAGTCGGCGACGACGGTCTGCAGCGCCGTCGCCCGCGACGTGCTCGTGGACGTCGACGAGCGCATGCGCGTCATGGCCATCCTGGGGAGCCTCCGGCCCCTAGCGATCGTCGCCGCGCCGTCCGTCGGCGGCCTCGCGGGGTCGCTCTTCGGCTGGCGCTACGTCTTCCGGGCGCTGGCCGTCTGGGGCGCGCTCCTCTTTGTCGGGACGCTGGTGGTCCTCCCGGAGACGCGGCCGCCGGACGCCGCGGCGGCCGGCGGCGCGCCGGTCCCCGCCAAGGCCGGCGCGAAAAGCGGCTACGCGGTCGTCCTCGCGCGGCTCCGGCGCGGCGCGGCCGGGGCCGGCTCCGACGACGAGCGGTTCGCCGTCGCGGCGCTGCTCTACGTCAACTTTGGCATGAGCGGCGTCATGTGCTTCCTGAGCAACATCGCGCCCTTGCTCGAGGTCCGCTACCGCGTCAAGACGGTCATGGCGTCGCTGCTCATCGGGTCGCTGCCCGCCGTCATCATCTTCACGAACGGGTCCCTGGCCTTCCTCATCGGCAAGCGCAAGGACCGGGGCGTCGCGCCGCCGAGCCCGGGCTACGTGCTCCGCGTCGCCCTCGCGATCCTCGCGGCCTCCGCGGCCTTCGACGTCGCCTGCGCCGCGGGGCCCCGGGCGCTCTTCCGCGAGGACTGGCCGCCCCTCCACGGCGCCCTGGTCCTCTACCTCCTCGGCGAGTCCCTCGGCGCGGGGCCCTGCATGGCGGGCTTCATGCAGCCCTTCGGCGACCACGCGGGCGCGGCGTCCTCCGTCCAGCTCGTGAGCCGCACGGCCTTCTCGACGGCCTACGCCTTCGCCATCACCATCGTCGTCGGACGACGCGGCGTCTTCGGCCTCTTCTGCGCCCTCGCGGCGACGGCGTCGGGCTGCCAGCTCGCGCGCCTCTTCCTCCCGCGCCTCGCGCCGCCGCCGCCGCCCGACGGCTACACGACGCTCGGCGGCGACGAGGCCAAGGACGACGACCCGGCGGCGCCCGTCGTCTAAGCGGGACCCGCCGGGGCCGGGATGCTCCTCCAGCATCGGCGGATTCGTGCCTTGCATGTCGTCATGTTGACGACATCTTGTACCTCTGATTGCTGGGGCACCCCTGGACCGGCGCTGCCCCGCCGCCGCGCTCGACCGCAGGCATGCCTCGCGAAACGGCGCGCTGGTTCGACGGCGCGTCCTTCGCGCCGGGGCCGGACATGGACAAGGTGCGCGTCTGGCTCGCCGCGGCGCAGCTCCACGGCCTCGTCTTCGTCTGGGGCGGCTTTCAGGGCGAGCGGGCGACGGAGGTGCTGAGCGCCGGCGTGACGGCGTTCCTCGGCGCCGGGCCGCCGACGATGGAGGAGCGCGACGGCGCCGCGGCGCTCGCGCTCGACGCCGACCGCGCGCTCGTCGTCGGCGGCTGGAAGCTGCGGTCGACGGAGCTGCTCCGCTTGGGCGACGACGACGACCTCAGGGTCGCGCGGGGCCCGGCGCTCGCGACGGACCGCTACAACTGCGCCGTCGTCGCCCTCGACGCGACGCGGATCCTCGTCGCCGGCGGCCTCGGCGGCGCCGGCGACGGCGGGGCCCTGCGGACGACGGAGATTCTCGACCTCGCAACGATGGCCTTCTCCCCGGGCCCGTCCATGGGCAGCGCGCGCGCGCACTTCGCCGCCGTGAACCTCGGCGGCGGCCGCGTGCTCGTCGCCGGCGGCGAGGACGGCGAACGCGAGGGCGGCCTGGCATCGACGGAGATCCTCGACGTCGCGACGATGGCCTTCGAGCCGGGCCCGGCGATGAAGTTCCCGCGCTTCGGCCTGTCCCTGGCGCCCCTCGACGCGGCGCACGTCCTCGTCGTCGGCGGCATGACGGCGCGCGAGCCCGTGGACGAGGAGGCGAACCCGGAGGGCTGGGAGGCCGTGCAGATCGCGGCCCTCGACGAGACGGAGGCGCGTCGCGTCGGCGCGTCCTTTTCGTCCGAGCCGCCGCGCGTAGGTCCTCGACGTCGAGACGATGACGTTCGCGCCGGGCCCGCGGCTCCGCGTCGGCCGCTGCGGCTGCCTGGCGATCGCCCTCGAAGAAGGCCGCGTCTTGGTGGCCGGCGGCATGTCGGGCTTCGAGGGCCTCGCGTCGACGGAGCTGCTCGAGCGGCGGCCGGAGGGGGACGGCCACGACGACGCGGCGCCGGCGCCGGCGCCGGCCGCGGCGCCGGAGGGCGAGGCACCGCCGCTGTGAGGGGGACTAACGTGGCCTCCGCCGTCGGGACGCGGAGGGGCCGCGTCCGCGCCGGCGCGCAATCGACGCGGGCAAAGGCCGCCGCATTTCTCGAATGGCGGCCGCCAAACACCAGAGTCGCTATGGCGCACACGACTCCCGCCTTCAATTTTAACTTCAACCATCGATGCACGATGCCGATACTTGCTCCGTGCACTTGGTGATGGCTGCGTAAGGCCAGGCTAAGCCCTCTGCCAGGCTGCCCCGTCTCTTCCGCGCCGCGCGATGACGGTCCGGAACGCGCGCGAGGACGACTACAGTGGGTGCTGCTACGCCGGGCGGCGGCCCTGCGGCGAGAGCTCCTACGCCTGGATGTGCGGCCTCGAGCAGCAGCTGCTGCCCGCGGCCGTCGAGGAGAAGCGGACGCGCAACGGCCACGCGCGGACGCGCGATGCGGGCGAGGAGGACCACATGACGCGCCAGGCCTTCGCCATGCTCGCCGAGGGCGCCGGCGGCGCCGCGGCGCGCGTGCCCTCGGACGCGCTCGTCGAGCTCTGCTTCATCGTCACGCGCGTGACGTACTCCGCGCGCGAGGTCCAGGCCGCGGCGATCGCGATCCACCCGAGCTACCGGGCCGAGGGTGCCGACGCGGCGTCCCGCCGACTTTGGTCGACCGATGGGACACACACCGTCGCTTTCGTAGGCCTCGACGCGGCGCAGTGCCAGCGGCTCGTCGACCAGCTCGAGACGCAGTCGTTCATGTAGGGGCCGCGCGCGTAAGCCTAGCGCCGCCGGAAGCCGCGGAGCCACGCGTCCGCGCCGTCGACGAGCTCGAGGGCGGCGCCCGTCGCCGCGAGCTCCGCGGCGACGTCCGAGGCCGCGACGGGCCCGGACCGCGCCTCGTCGACGGCGAAGAGGAGCGCCTGGGACGCGCCGACGGGCGCGGCGCACTCGTAGAGGCCGTAGGTCGCGGGCAGCGCCGCCGCGAGCGCCGCGGCGTAGGCGTCCGCGCGGCCGAGGACGTTCGCGCCGACGACCGCGGGCGCCGCGGTCGCGAGGTCCCGGAGGAACGCCGGCGACGCGAAGACCGGCGGCGGCGCCGCGCCGCCGTCCTCCGCGTCGACGACGACGACGTCGAAGGCGCCGGGCGCCGCGGCGCCGCGGAGGAAGGCCGCGCCGCAGCCGCCGACGAGGTCGAGCGCGTCGCCCACACCAAAGAAATCGCGCGCGACGGCGCGGACCTCGCCGGCGGGCTCGACGACGTCGACGGCGCCGCAGAAGCGCGCGCGGAGGAGCGCGGGCACGCCGCAGCCGCCGCCGCCGAGCACGCACGCGCGCCGCGGCTCGCCGCCGCGGCGCGAAATGCGCCAGAGGGGCGCGACGAGCGCGAGGCCGCCCGCCGCGGTGCCCAGGTCGCCGCGGAGCGGCGGCGGCGCCGGCGGCGCCGCGGGCCGGCCCGCGCCGTCGAGGCGGATCGACGACTGTACGAGCGACGGCCGCGCGTTGAAGAGGAGCCCGCGGACGCCCGCGGCGACGTCGTCGAGCACGGACACGTCGCGCGACCCGTAGGCGAAGCGCCAGCCCCGCGCGCGCCGGAGCTCCGCCTCGAAGGCCTCGAGCTCGCGCGCGTCGACGCCCCGCACGGCGTCGTAGGCCGCCGCGAAGGACGGGAAGTCCGGCGGCGCGCCGAGCGCTGTGAGGCCCGTGCGCGGATGCACGCAGCTGTGGAGGCCCGCCAGGTAGCCGGCGCAGCGCGCCATCCAGCTACTCTGCTACACGCAACTCGGCTGCACGCGTAGCTACTGTGCTCACGCAACTCGGCTGCACGCGTAGCTACTGTGCTCACGCAACTCGGCTGCACGCGTAGCTACTGTGCTCACGCAACTCGGCTGCACGCGTAGCT